CCTAGCCGAGGTCCAGTATCTAGGCCACCGGGTCGGCTCCGGTAGACAACGCCCAGAGCCCGCTAAGGTAGAGGCCATAGCTAACTGGCCCCAACCCCGGACCAAAACCCAGGTACTGGCTTTCTTAGGGACGGCCGGGTATTATAGGAAGTTCGTCCCAGAATATAGCGCCCTGGCCAAGCCCCTCACGGACCTTACCAAAAAGGCCCTTCCCAAACAGGTCGCCTGGACCCCAGAGTGCACGGACGCTTTCCAGAAGCTCAAAGCGGCATTGAGTGAGGCCCCTGTGTTGGCAGCACCCGATTACACTAAACAATTTCTTGTCCACACAGATGCCTCCATGTTTGGGCTGGGAGCCGTGCTAAGCCAGGTGGGGGCGGATGGCATGGAACACCCGGTGGCATACCTCAGCCGTAAACTTTTGCCCCGAGAAGTCAGCTATGCCACCGTAGAAAAAGAGTGCTTGGCCCTCGTGTGGGCCCTCAAGAAACTTCAGCCCTATCTGTATGGGCGAGCGTTTACCCTTATGACCGACCACAACCCCCTGGTATGGCTCAACCGGGTAGCTGGTGACAACCCCAGGCTACTCCGGTGGAGCCTAGCTCTCCAACCATACAATTTTACCATGCAGTACCGTCCGGGTAAACAAAATGGGAATGCGGATGGACTGTCCCGCCAGACCGAACTGGACACCTAAAAACATACTTTCATCGGACATCCCCAAGCCAACCCGACAGGGTCTAGGCGGGTATGCCGACCTATGGACTTATAGGGGAGCAGTGTGAAGAAATGACTCCGTTAATCAGGATTTCTACCTTTCGGATGGATTCAGGCGAATTCCCTGTGTAAAATATAGGTGGCCGCCATTTCGGCACTTTACACGTGGCCGCAGCCATTTTACGTGCGAACAGCGGTGTTTGCCCGTCAACGCGTGGAACTAAAATCGGATACGCAAACAGGCGAACACCGCTGAGACCTCCATACATCCAGAACTTCGCACGAGAACAACCGAATCACCGGCCGTTCGGTAGTTACATGCAACTTCGTATGGGGATTTCAACGATCCCAAAGATGCGAATGGATGGCAGGGCTTTCGTCTCTTTTATTCGCCTAAACGGAGACCGACCGCAGGGCCAAAACTTATGGAACTATTTTCGGCTAGATGGTCCGTGCGGTCGGTCAAAACTTTAGTGTTCCATAACTCCCGAACCATTCATCCGAATGGACTGATTTTTCGATATGTTGTCCACACAAATGAGAACTATCCAGCGGTACCAGATTTAAAGGTGTACCCCCTGTTTTTGGGGTACATCCAGAACTGGGGTAAAATAGTGCACGTTTTAATTAAGTTAACTGTTTATCAGAGGGGAGGGAGGTATGGGCTGTAACCTATTCCTGATTGGTGATTTAATGCCTCCCCCTGGGTGTGTATTTCTTGTCTGTAACCGTAATAAAAAGCAGGCTGGAGATTCCAGACCTCAGATCTACTTGTATCCTGATTCTGGACTCTGACTGTTATTTGGGAATTCGTATGTTTTACCAAGGGGATTATCTTGGGAAGCTGTTATATTTCTTATGGACTTCATTGCTTGGAACTACCTTAGACGCTGACATTGCAGGAGGAATTATCAAAGCGGTTCAGCTATATGGGATTTCCTTACACCACACATGCGGGCTCAAATACATGCAAACTCTTATAAACAAACACACATTCATATGCACATACACACACAGGTATATACCTACACATTAATTTATACAAACACCTATTCATATACACAGACTTAATTTAAATAAATAAAAAATATGAGCGGTTCACAGGGAGGTCCATGCAGCCTCCTTTGTTTTACCTTGAAAGAGAGAGAGCTGTAGTGGAAAGTCATTCCTAGTGTCCACGATAAGCAAGAATCTACACTTACTACAGGTAATGATAAATATTTTTTTACTCCAAAGTGAGCATACAGTTACAACACTTGAGGGGGGGGGAGTAAATATCATTCACTCACGAAGTGCTGGTGAGGCACAAAATTAATCAGCTCACTCTCTCTCCTGTGTGTCCTAACTGTGGAGGAGATTTAGCAATCCACTCAAAGTGGTTCTATCACCTCAAACCTATCTTTCTCCTATTGTTTTATCTCCTCTTCCTTTCTCAGAATCTGTTCATTTTTGATCTGCATATCTTTAAAACATAAGACAAAGTAGAGGTAGTATGTCTTACGTATTTTTCCTACTCTTGAAAATCTTGACAAAGGGTGGAGCTTAAGGCAAGTTCACTTCCTTTGTCAAGATTTATCAGGCATCGTGAAAGAAAATAAGACAAAGTAGTCCCTACTATGTTTTGTGTTTTAAAAAGAAGTAGATCAGAAATGAAGAAAAGAGACCAGATTTGGAGAGATAAAGAAAAGAGGAAACAATAGGAGAAATGTAAGTTTGACAGAGGCGACAGAACCACTTTAAGTCTAGTGTTTCTCTACAGTTGCAGAACCTGCTGCCTCTACAATTCAAACATTTTGCTATACATTTTAACATATAATTCCAATGCCTCCATTTCTCTTTGAACTATATATTTACTTAGCAGGGTAAGGGCTTACTCTACTTAGTGACTAAAAATTCCTCTATTTAAGTCTATTGGAAAATTGATATTCAGAACACTTATAATACATGAAGCTACCAATCAGCTTTAGTCAGTATGCATGAGTGGTACAATTCTTGCTTGTGGATGCTGGAAGTGAGTTCCTAATGGTATGAATCCTCGAGATATGTAAAACACGATAACAGAAAAAAGTGCTTCATGGTGAAGTAAGTATCCGATCAAGAATAACACAAATGAATGTAAGTATATGCACAGACATGTTCATGAGCCAAATTGGTTCTCTTTTGTGGACATGGAAGCTTCACTTTTGGATTCTTGACACTTGAAGTGTGCTTAGCAGGAATATGTGGAAAGAAAATACATTACCATAGTGCACACCACAATAATAAAAGCAAAAAATAATCCTGCTTACTATTTGTTGAGCAATACGGAATTGCACAATAGATAGCGCATAGGTGGTACAAATCCACATCACAGGATATAGGAGTATCTACTCATCAGGAAATCAACAAAGCTCCAAGATGAGTTAAAAGGCAGGTTTATAAAAATACAAAAACAAGTAAAAACACCAATGCGTTCTGCCCATGGCAGGTGTCTTTATCAAAGTATTGCCAAGAAGAGAGACTCTTGGTTTTGATGACTGTGCTGCCCATTCCCAATTTTCTTAGGGTCTCTTTTTAGTGCTTTTCCATCTACTTTAGTTGACAATACAAAACTGGATGCATACCATTCCTCAATGAAAAGAAAGTGATGTGTTGCTAGAACGTGGACCTTGTATATATTTTTTTAAAGACAGGATAGTTCTTTACCAGTAATCCTTTAAATAGTTCTATATGGATCTATTTACTTTTTGCTAGACATGTCCAATTCATTTTGTTACGAAAGTAAATTCGGACAAATTTCGGCAATTTGGACATTCAGATACTTCTGAATATATGAATTGCCGAATTTCAGAAGTGCCGTATTTGGGAAGTGCTGAACTGAACGGAATTGCCGAAGTGCCGAACTGTCAAATTGCCGAAGTGCCGAAGTGCTTCGGATTTCTGAAAAGTGGCAAAACAAGAGAGGGAGGGAAAATTATGTGAACGATGACAGGAATCTGACCTTAACCCTACCCCTAACTCTTCCCCTAACCCTAGATGTGTAAGTGGTTGTGGTGGTTAGATTTAGGGGTTGAGGTAGCGTAAGTGCCGAAGTGCCGAATTCGGAACACCAGACATGAACAAGTAGTTGTAACTCCTATGTATATGCCTATTAACCTGCATCATCTTCACAAGAAAACATTATTTACACTTACTGCACACAGATCACTCAATCTCCCAATTTTCTACTCAATCATTATCACAGCAAACTTACTATTACATTAACTGCAAATGTGGTTGAGCAATAATATATTTGTATGAGACATTACCACTCGATGAAGTACTACTAACGGATATGCCTAAATTATACACATAATATTATAATGCTCTAATGTGTACACAGTAAGATGTAAATATAACCATATTAAATTCAAAAGCACTAATGAATAACAAGCCTGATTTCTTTTCTGTAAAACGTTTAAAAATATAAGGTCTGTGTTGTATTTTACAGTAAAAACACAAAAATGTACTTAAAGCATAATGAAAAAATTACCTTCAAGGTTATTTACTAAAGTGAGAATAGTCAGGAATTCAATAAGAATTCAAAGTGAATTTCAAACTTAACATCACAATTGCTGAATTTTAAAAATAATCCGTTGGCAATGCTTCAAGTTTATTTTGGTCTAAAATGTTATCACTATAAATACACGAGGTAGAGGCAAACAGTGCAGCAATATCCCCACACTGTAGTTCCAATGGTGTATAATAGCCAAACAGGAAAAAAGATAGGAGTCTTGCGCAACTTGAATTTGCAGTGCACCTCTGGTGCAATACCTTTAATTTCAGAAGGACAAAGTAAAACAAACATTTCAGGCAATAGCCCTTTATCAATGCTAATATCCTTCACAT